ACGCTGTCCCGTTTCCATGGCGACATTCAACGTCCGTACTCTAAGACAAACAGGTCAGTAGGCTGCACTCGCACGCACCTTGGACACACTGGGTGTTGGTGTGTGTTGTGTGTCCGAAATTAGGATCAATGACCCTAACGGGGTTATTGAATTAACTACACCCGGCTTATCCTCTCGTTATTGGTTGCACGCATCCGGAGACGCCGATGCAGCATGCACGGCTCAAGCTGGTGTAGGTATCATTCTAAGCTCCAAGGCTGAGTCATCGTTGTTTGATTGGATTCCGATGAACAGCCGTTTATGTGCAGCCCGTTTGACGACATCAGCTAAGGTTGATTCACGAAGTAGTACAAAACGCTGTTTGTTCGTGATTTCCGCTTATGCTCCCACCGGCTGCAGTTCAGATGTTATCAGGGACACATTCTATCACGAACTGAACGCGCTACTACGCAGTGCTACTAGTTCAGATATTATAGTATTTGCAGGGGATATGAACGCACAAATACGGCGTCTGAACTCTTCAGAAGCTCAGCTGGGTGGTAATTATGGGCTTAACTCCGAACGGACTGACAACGGTGAGCGTCTGCTGCAACTGTGTGCCGAGCACCAGTTGTTTCTTAGTAGCACTGCTTTTAGACACAGTGGGCGCCGAAGTGCCACTTGGCGTCCTCCTGTAGCTGGTCAGCGATGGACCGAAATTGACCACATAGCTATAAGTTACAGATGACGTGGTTCCATCCTGGATTGCCGCTCGTACTGGAGTACCTGTGTCGACTCTGATCATGCCTTGGTGCGCTGTCGTTTCTCCATGAAGTTTACCGGGAGGCGCACCAAGCGTCCCTTACGATTGGCAACGGAGAAATTGTCTCAGTCCTTGGTCAGGCAAGCCTATCAAGAAGCGCTGCGTATCGAACTTCCGCGTTGAAGTGCTGCCTGGTGAAAGGTTAGTTGATCTAGATTATGCAGACGATATCGTCTTGCTTTTCGACGATGTGGCGGCGGCACAATCAACCCTGAATAACCTGTCCAGAGTGGTCCCATTATTTGGTATGCACTTCGCACCTTCGAAGTGCAAAGTGTTGCTGCAGGACCACCAGCCACTTGATGACCCCTTGACGCTTGCTAACGAGGAACTCGAGGTGGTTGATCATTTCACTTATCTTGGCAGCTGCATCAGCAATGATAGACGCATAGAAACTGACGTCAGCTAACGCATTGCAAAAGCCAGAGCTACCTTCTTGAATCTGCGGCATCTTTGGTGACAGAAGGGAGTTTTCCTTCGTCTGAAAGGCCGTGTATACAAGGCCACAGTGAGGGCCGTTTTGCTCTATGGTAGTGAGACTTGGCCGCTTCAGTCTGAAGATTTGAGGCAGCTTCAAGTCTTTGATCATCTTTGTCTGCGAAGCATTGCTGGAGTCGGATGGCACCAGCTTGTCCGCAACGATGATGTGCGTAGGCGAGTACTAGGAAGTGATAAACATGCTAGCTCCCTAGCACAACAGATAGCACTGAATAAGTTGCGTTGGCTCGGGCACGTATGCCTGGTCACGGCTTACCTAGGCGGGCCTTGTTTAGTCTGCCAGGTTTAGGGTAGCGCAAGGCTCGAGGTGGACAGAAGTTGACTTGGCAGCGGCAAATGAAGTCGCTGACTACCAAACTGGGTATCGTTTGTCCTTCTCGTCTTCCGGGCTGGAGTCCACGTGACTCGCCTTGTGCTTGGCTCTAGACTTTACAGGACATGGCTCGCAGTAGACACCGGTGGCGCGTCTGCTGCCGTCTCTTAATTGGATTGCCTTTTTAAAGTGTGCTTGGTGCTGAGTTATCTGCGGGGTAATGGCTGATTATGACGCGTGGCAGTGAAAGCCGCAAGGAAGCTGTCTCGCCGATGGCGCCTTATCTTTGCACGATAGCCAGCTGTTTGTGACGGTATGTTGTTAACACAAGGTGTAGGCGCCTTGACCCTGAATGTTTGCTTAGGGCGTTAAGATTTTCAGGTAAGTCCCTCTTCTCTCCCTCTTCTTATTCTATATTTCATTGGTCCTCATGGTTGTATGGCAGCGAAGCATCAGTTCAAATGGCTGATGTACTGCTGTTGATGATGATGATGATGATGATGATGACGATGATGATGATGATGATGATGATGATGATGATGATGATGATGATGATGATGATGATGATGATGATGATGATGATGATGATGATGATGATGATGATGATGATGATGATGATGATGATGATGATGATGATGATGATGATGATGATGATGATGATGATGATGATGATGATGATGATGATGATGATGATGATGATGATGATGATAGCAAAAGCTCGAGGTGCTTTTGCCAATCTCCGCCATCTGTGGCGCAGACGGGACATCACTATCGCCCTGAAGGGCAGAGTTTATGATACAACCGTCCTTTCAACCCTCTTACACAGTTATGAAACCTGGCCCGTCTGGTCGACAGACATAAAGAGGCTAGCCACCTTCAATCATCGCTGTCTTTGCAGCTTAGCTCATGTCTGGTGGGAGCACCGCGTAAGCAATGAGCATGTTCGGCGTCGCGTATCTCGTGCAGGGAGAGCTAGTGAACCGCTCAGCACCATAATATCACGCACTAGGCTCCGATGGTTGGGCCACGTGTTGCGCGTGCCAGCACACCGACTTCCGCGACGTGCATTGTTTGCTCGTCGCGGGTGCGGTTGGAAAAGGATGAGGGGAGGCCAAGCGGTGACTTGGTCGAGAGAAATGAAAACCCTCACTTCGAAGTTGGCGTTGGTTGGTGCATCCCGACTACCTGGCAGGGGTCCTAAGAACGGTGAACACTTTTGGTTGGACAATTTCTGATATGGCTAGGAGCCGGCCCCAATGGCGTTTCTGTTGCGAGTTCCTTTGTCCATCCCCGTCTTTCTTAGCCTTCCCCTCCAATCACGATCGCATTCGTTAGGCATAATATAACTCTCTTTTTGCGGCACGATAGCCAACCGTTAGCTCTTCGGAACGATGGCCATCCGTTGCTGAGGACTCAGCCGGCGTGCCTCTGTTGTTCTTCTTGTCTTTTGTATTGCGGCACAATATCTGAGGTGTTTTCCACTTGCAGCTATCGTGTATAATGATGATGATGCTTTTCGCAGTCATGGAAACCGTCTGATATTGTTAATCGGTCTACTTCTCTAGACAGTTGTATTATCCGGTTGCCGCGACACTGAGGGGGCTACTACACTTATCGTCACGTTCACATTATGTAGATCACCGTATGTCAGTCTATTAGCTGAAGGAAGGCTTTACAACGCTGTGCTGCGATCATTGTTGTTACCTGGATCAATGATACACTAATTAGGGATCTTGAGAGACGGATCACGTCTGACTGCCGATACCTTCGAAGTACTTTTCGTGTTTGGCGAAATCATCAATTAGTTAGTACGATATGTGGTGGAAGTGTCATATCAAAGTAAACGGATAAACCGAACGAGCGAGCCTGATAACCAATGTAACAAACGTAGCCAATTCAATTATTGGATACGGATTAACCGACATTCGTGTGCGTTACTCACCATTTGTTTAACTGAGTCAAAGTAGGAGCCTTATCAGCTCAGTATGGGGGGTTTGTTATGGACGTGAATGGGTAATTTATACCAAGGAGTTTGATTTGTCAAACAGGCTATACATTTTGCTGAGTTGTCTTTGCCGAATAAACGCTTGTCCCTGGTGGACCGAGTTCTGCAACACGAAACCGCTTAACCTGGCGTTTAGCAAACAACTCTGGTGTCTCGTTAGCGTACCTGCCAAACAAAAATTCCCTCCGCATGCTTGAGAGCCAGCTTCCTAGGCTTGTTTGCCAGTACTGTGTTCAACTAGGTGAAACCCTCAGTTGGCCAGACCACAACATGGTAAAAGTGCATGCAGAGAACCATGGAAGTTCCTTGTCGGGTTGATGCTTTTCATCCTGCCTTGTAGAGGTGGCACTGTGCTTGAGGTGGGCAAACGTTAACTTGGCAGCAGGAGATGATGTTAATAACAAAAGACTAGTTACTGTTGGTCTCTCTCGCTGTCCAGGCTAAAGTCTATGTTACGCGCCTAGTGCTTCGCTCGAATCGTTGCAAGACATGGCTAGCAGTCGACACTAGTGGCACGTCTGCTGTTGCCTCCTACTCGGACTGCCAGTTTAAAGTAGGTTTGGCGCTGAGTTTCTGTGGGGTAATGGCTGATTATGACGCTGGGCAGTAAAAGCCGCGAGTAATTTGTTTCGCTGATGCCGCTTTTATCTTTACACGATAGCCAGCTGTTTGTGACGGTATGTTGTCGGCACCACGTGTAGCCTCCTTGCGGTAGGCCCCCATTCTCTATAACTTGTTTTTCTTCGTTCCTTTGGCTATTGTGGTTGTGATGCAGCGAAGCATTAGTCCATTATTAGTATTTATTTTGTCATTTTTTGGCGATGTAAGTCACGGCGACTGAGTCTGCTACATCTCAGCGCACGGATCATGGTCGATAAACGCAACCATTCCTTTTCCAGCTCCGGTGGAACTTTTATAAAATTACTTGTAAACATTACCAAACTAGTGATCGTCCATGCATGATTTGTACACTTTAACATATAGGTTAAACGATTCATTGGACTTCACCGTTCTACGTGGTGGGTGCTTTATCACTCGATCAGTGTTTTTACATTGTCTGTCGATACAAACTTATGCAGAACCTTGTTCTGATACATGTACCTGTTCTCTGGTGCAATTGTTATATTTATAGTCTGAAAGCATAAGCAAAACTCGTTTCACGGAGCTTCTTGTTCTTGATTACTCCTACCTTCGAATTCCTCGAATACTAAATGCCCACCACACACTATGCGCAGAGTTCGGCTTCTCTATTCACTTTTGACCCATGTTTTGTCCCAAATCCCATTTGGCCGAACCCCACTGTGACTGCATAGGTTATTATTGATCAACTGTTATTCAACAATTGGACTGTACACGACACATTTTCTATTCCACCTTCCAAGGGCCGTAGAATACGAGTTAGAATTGTGCCAGAAGAGGAGCGCCGATGTCGTGGCCGATTTCGAGAAGAAGCTGTCACGATGCCACGCTGAGGTGAGGTTTACAATCCCATCATCTTGTGTGCCCCGTGGAGCATCACTATCTATTTCTAATAACTGGTTTAAACCTTGATTTACATACTAATTAACCAACTAACTTGATCCACTTTCGGTTTCACATCCTCGATAAACTAGAAATAACAAGGAGCAGTTCACCACATCTACACTAGGGCAGCCAGCCATCACTCGCCTAGAACAGCACTGTACGGTTGTTTCATCCTTTGGGAGTCGTCAGCAGTATGCATTCAATCTGACCTTTATGGAACCGAACCGACAACTCGACTGTTGCCAGTTTGTGCTTGAGACCACGGCTACGGGGGACGACAACGACCTTCGTGACTACGTCTGTTACCGATAACTCGGTCTTGGAACTTGAGCAACACTTAGCACCCGGGTCAATCCACAAATCAATCCGGATGAGCTACTGTGCTATTTACAAGTGGTTGGACAACAATTTATAACAAACCTCAAATAATATCCATACTAACATGTATACAATTATTCGGCTCTCCAATGCAACGTGCTGTCAAGCCAGGTAAACAACAGCAATGGTCAACCGATAAGAAAAATGAGACGAATCGGTTTCAACGTCATTCAGAGTGGTTTACAGCGAAGTGCCCAGTCGCCAGTCGATCAGCCAATGAACAGTGCACATGAAGCACAGGGGGTAGGGGAATGATTCAAGCCTACTCACTCAGGCAATGACGTGTCCGGAGACGAAGATACGATGGAAGGGCTGAGAGACGATCGGTAGACCATGTGAACGAGGGAAAGTATGAATGTCTTTATGAGACTTCGGGACCGCGAAACGAGGAAATTAGGACAGGACCGGTTTAATCCGACAGACTGATAGATGTGATGTATCGCCGCTCACTAACCACGGGCTTACACGTTACTGCCGTGCTTGTAATGCCATAAGTTATTTGGTGCCTTACGTTTGCTACGTTCGTCGCTTAGTAAGAGCGCCACCCTGTCCTCCGCATAGCAGTGGATGGTGTGCGGCGCTATATCTCATCTATTAACAGTCACGACGGTCGTTGCCTCCCCTCTTAGCTCGGCAGAGTCCAAAATCGAATTGCTAGTTTGAACCCTACAAGAGTCAGATGTACTGTTCATTGCTGACTAGTCCAGGACGTGTGATGGCTGTCTGACTGTCTAGATGTGATGAATTTCTTGCTACACCATTCAACACCCCTACTACTTCTCTGTGTGGATGAACCCCTCAGCACCGGGATATCACGCACCGGGCTCCGGTGGCTGGGCCACATGTTACGCATGCCAGCCCTCCAACTTCCGCTACTTGTGTTGTTTACGCGCAGGGGAGGAGAGAGATCAAGCGATGACTTGGTCAACAGGAATGAACTCCCTCATTTCGAAGTTGACGCCGGTTGGTGTTTCCGAACTGCCAGACTGCGGACCAAAGGATGATGAACATGTTTCATTGGATACACTAGCTGGTATGGCGAAGAGTGGCCTTGTTCAGTCTACCAGGTGTAGGATGGCGCAAGGCTCGAGGTGGACAGAAGTTGACTTGGCAGCGGGAAATGAAGTCACTGACGACCAAACTGGGTGCCGTTGGTCCGTCTCGCCTTCCGGGTTGGAGTCCACGTGACTCACCTTGTGCTTGACTCGAGACTTTACAGGACATGGCTCGCAACCGACACCAGTGGCGCGTCTGCTGCCGTCTCCTAATCGGATTGTCTGTTTAAAGTGTGTTTGGTGCTGAGTTATCTGCAGGGTGATGGCTGATTATGACGCGTGGCAGTGAAAGCCGAAAGGAAGCTGTCTCGCCGATGCCGCCTTATCTTTGCACGATAGCCAGCTGTTTGTGATGGTATGTTGTCTGCACAAGGTGTAGGCGCCTTGACCCTGAATGTTTGCTTAGGGTATTAAGGTTTTCACTTAAGTCCCACTTCTCTCCTTCTTCTTATTCTTTATTTCTTAGGTCTTCATGGTTGTATGGCAGCGAAGCATCAGTTCAAATGACTGATGTACTGCTGTTGATGATGATGATGGCGAAGAGTTGACCTCAGTGACGTTTGTGTTGTGGGTCTCTTTTTGCCCTTCATCTTCCCTTCGGCTTTCCCCTCCAACAAATACCAAAAAATGTGCTACTAGCATTAGGTTACTTTTTATAGCTTTTACGTCTACTTTGGTTGGTGTTTTGCTTTTTGTATTGTGGCACATTAGCTGGGGTGTGTTTCTCACTCTCGGCTAACGTGTATTGATTATGATGATGATGACTACTCCCGTGTAAACAAGAAATTAAAAGGCATAACAGTACTTGTCCCAATTTAGTATCTTATTATGTTTATTATTTTATATTTTCTTCATTCATGTATCTTTGCGTAGCGCCACAATACTGAGCTATTTCGTACCTCCAACTAACATGTAGAATGATTAAATTTCGCATCCTAGGTAACGATATTCGTCCGCCCTTTTTCTACTACTATGCTTGCGGACATCCACATGTCGGCCAGTGGTCGAGAGGATTGTGCGCTTCGTTGTAATTCCGAGGTCGCCAGTTTGGATCCAACTAGATGCGGGCGACATCACGGTTTACCCGTCCCTCGGACGACTGGTGACGGTAGTGCGGTAGCGAAGCGTCGGTACGGTGTGCCGGCGTATTGCTGATGACTTTCTTCCACTTATTTTTGTTTTCTGCGATCTTTTAGTACAAACTGGACCAGATAAACCATCGATCTGTGTCTCGCACTAAGAAAGACCACGCCGTGTGTTTATCATGGTCACCGTTTCGTTCTGTTCCTATATATTGTATTTCGTTGTTGGCCACAACTGGGCCGAGCTCCTGAAGTGGCGGATTGAAGCTTCTAAGTTAATCAGTACACCCATGCAGACTCATTGATGAGTACTAAAAATGCTTAACTCGAAAGTGTTGTATGCTCATCTCGTATGCATATAAAAACGACCATAATAACGTTAATGTAATAAGGAATTAATTGCTTTTAAACCACATCAGCACATGGTCAGCTGGAACGTTGAAGTGTAAATGAAACCTCCCAAGGAACTACCCCACATGAAAATAGATCCCCAGGAAGCTGTTCCACAGATGTCGGCCGGTGACCGAGTGGTCTGCACGTTTGCTGTCGGTCGGTGGCCGAGTGGTCTGCACGTTTGCTTTGCAACCATAAGGTCACCGGTTCGAATTTGCGTAGGGGTGGGCGTCCTCGCGGTATACTCAGCCCGCGCGCGACTGGTGGTGGTCGCGCGGCAGCGAAGCGCCGTTACGGCGTACAGCTGACACATTATTTATGTTCCACAGATGACCACATATTAATTCACTTGGACGTTTGGCTATGCGTCGACTTATTCTCACGGCCAACTTCTCCGTCTTTCGAATCCACTTAACGGTTATGTCACTTCGAAAACCTGATTTGGAACCATGGCAAACAACTGAAAGAGTTATTAATGTCTAAGATGGTTTTTCATGAAATTTTACTGCTTCGTCCCAGCTGTTCACAAGCCCAGTAGTCCAACCCCATCCGGAGAATCACGAGATGATCGTTTCGCCCTATTGGGTCCCCTGCGGAGGACGGAACTTATGACCGCTAGCATCTTGTACCAACCAGCCAACATCTAGTAGGGTTGTCCGTTTTATGCTGGTGGCCGAAGGGATGGCGCATCTGCGTTGTAATCCGCGCAGGTGCGGACGTACTCGCGGCATATCCAGCCTTCGTGTTGCTGGTGGTGGTTGCGTTGTAGTGAAGCGTTGATACGTTATCTTGATGTACTACTGATGCCTAGTTTCTTCCATGCGGCTCTGCTGTACAAGTTGATGAGAGCACCGAAGTGTACTGTATCTCGCACTGTCAATAAAACACTGCTTATTTTCCTTGGATGTCGTCCACACGCCATTTGTCCTTCAGGTAGAGGGCTAACAAATGCGGGAATGTAAGCCGGAACTGTAGTTGAACTTTCGTGACCGTTCACCGTGTAGTCTACAACATGGACACGTTTGATGTACGAAACTCTAGTGTGGCATTGAGGATTAATATTCCATGCGGACAGGTTACAAATTTCCGCATGTAAGCTCATTCAACCATCCCATGTGTGAATTCGGATAGGTCGTCTCACTGCATTCCTGTCATGACTTTCTGTTGAACCATCTGCCTAAACCTTTCCCTTACTGACCCACCGGTTCCGACATATTGTCAGTCGCCGACCAGCTGGTTGTATGCAGTTTTGTCTGAAGCGGGCCCGTAGCCTAGAGGTAACGAGTTTGTCTTGTAATCTGACGTCGCGGGTTCGAGCATGTGTAGGATGACCCTCGCGGTATCCTTGGCCACCGTGCGACCGGTGGCGATGGCGCGACAGCGAAGCGTTGATATTGCGTACCGGCGTACTACTGATGCCTTGGACACATGCTACATGTGCCCGCTTATCTGAGAGAGCACAAGACTGCGGCAGGAGGCAGTCATTGACTTGGTGACGGGAGATAAAGCCACCGACGAGTGTTGTACTACTGATCCGCCTCGCATTTGTGCTTGACCCGTGTCCTTACGAGGCATGGCTCGTAGCCGGTACCAATAGTGTAGTATCAGCCACCTTCCTGTTTGAGCTACCTTTTTAAGGTCGATGTCATGCTGCATTGTTCATCGAGTAGCGCTAACTATGAGCTATCTCACGAATGTCGCGTTATTTTCACACGACAGCTAGCTATTTGCCACAGTATTTTGTTGTCAACGTATAGGCACTTTCCTCCTGAATCATTGGCTTTTCTTATTTCTACTTTGTATCATTCTTATCATCATCATCATCATCATCTTGGTTATATGACAGCGAGTCGTCGGTTCAAATCATCGACGAGATGCTTCAGCTAGTGACGATGCTCGTGTTCTCCAGTGCTTCGTTTTTTTTTGTTTCACTTTACGTCACCTTCCATAGTAGACGAGTTTTCTATTGCAGCATGTCCGCTTACGAAAACTGCGCAGTTTTCAATACGACGGTATTTTCCCCGTAACTGTTTACGGGCAAATTTTTCTCCGAGTTCTTCATGTTCAATTTTTGTTACTGATTGACATACTTTATTGAATCCTCTTAAATAGAATGAATGCTTGAAAAACGATCTTAGACAACTGAATGAGTCCTTAAAACATCAGACCTCCGAGCTCCAGGCAAGAGATGGTCGAATTGAACAACTGGAGACGTATTTGGTCAAACTCCCCACTGCAGAGGAACATAGCACAACGTTAACTCAGGTAAGCGGTACGAACCGTCTCGGCTATTTGCTTCCATTTATTATATACCCTATGTGACTACAAATTATTCGTAGATGTTACTTATTCGTGCATTGCATCACATTTCCGTCTTCCACCAACTCCATTTAGGTTTGGTGACCGCTGCAGTGAAGTTGCTGTCTCAATGATTTTCACTCGGCAAATCCTCTGATTCTAGTTGTGGACTTTATCATCATGCTTTTTTTTACTTTTCATACACTTCATCAGGTAGTCACTTTTTTCACTGGCATTGTGATCACGCACCGATCGTTCTTGACTTATAGTCGATACTTTTGCCCGCGCTCATGGCTTCCTTTCTTTCCTTGGCTATTAGCGTCTAGGCCAGCTGGCTTTTTCATCGTCTTTTGGTGCGGTCGCACTTAGTTTCATCCCATTTGAACTAGTCGTTCGCAAGCCATCCAACCCGAAATTTTACTACTTGCTCTTTGCTTCATTGCCCAACATATTGGGGCCTCAATCTCGATTGACTGTTACCTGCGTTCTTATTTACCGGTTCTATCTTGTGTGCACCATAGCCATTGCATCGTATTACCTGGCCTAATGGCGGTTTCTCTTGGGCTTGCGTCCACGAAGTAATGGGAGAGTGCAGAGGTTTTTGTTAATGTACTTCAAATGCATGCTAATCAATAATACTACTGACAGATCATGAGTAGTTTGGTATTGTGCCTCGAACGCATGGAACATAAACTGAGACTATTTAAGAGCAATTAGAAAGGTTTCTGTACTACTCTACCGAATTAGGAAAAATCAAAAACATTTAATTGCAAATCATCAGTGGTGGTGTTTGGTCAGTTAATCGTTTATCCTTGTTCGGTTAAGAATTCGTATTGGTGTCATTGTTTCCGGGTATACGATGTCTTCTTTTGGGATTGTGTGTGCACCGTCTCACAAAAGCACAAGTCTCCGAAATAATCGTCGACACTTGTTTTAAAACACTTCACAGAATCGGCATCTATTAATCCTTCTGGTAGTGTATTCCATAAGTTTACGATTCTTCGTTCTATACAAAGCTGATGTGATACCTTGTTCATGCAAGGGACCCTGAGTTTGTAACGGTGTCCTCGGGTATTACAGGGTTCCCGCAAGTGAAATATTGGCCGCAGTATGGGGAAGGGATACAAGTGTAGTACTCGATGGATCATAATAAGGTCAATTCTTACTCGGCGGTAGGATAGTGTGTAGAGTCCTAGCCTTTCACAACGTTTTTCATACGGAAGCTTTTGTACACTCGGTATCATGCTACGTGCGATATGCTGTACTTTCTCCAGCTTTTCAGTTTCCCATTGGGTTATCGGATGGTAAGCTGGGGCACCGTATTCAAGGATTAGTTTAATGAGCGAGGTGAATAGATGAGGGACGGTTTCTTCGGAGCATGTGGAAAAACTGCGTCTTAATGCCCAGAGCATACGAAGTCCCGCATGGTACAATTTCTCTGTGTTTTCTAGTGATCTCATATCATGTCGCGAGAGCACTCCTAAATCTCTGACAGATGTCTTAGGGTGAAGCAACTGGCCGTCCTAGGTGTATGGTCGAGTGGTTGGATGCCTGATGATACTGATGAACTCCGATTTGCTTGCGTTAAGAGCGAGTTGCATTTCAGTGGACCACGTTGACAGTTACTCTAAGTCTTGCTGGAGGCAAGCGCAGTCGTCCTGGTTCTCAATGATCCTCCAGATTTACAAATCGTCTTCAAATAGGGCACATGGTGACTGGAGCTGCTACGGAAGATCGTTGATACGAATAAGAAAAATTGCTGACCCAATACAGTTCCTTGAGGCATGCCACTGGTCGATGGGAACCAGTCTGTCAAGTAGTCATTGACTTGTACTCTAAACTTTCGTCCCACAATAAACTCGTGTAACCACCGAAGTAGCGTGCCACCGATTCCGTATGTCCTCAGTTTACGAAGGAGTACCTCGTGGTTCACTCTATCAAACGCCTTAGTAAGGTCGATGTACACCACGTGAACATCCTTTCGTTCGTTGAGTGCTCGTACCCACTGGTGGTTTGCGTATATCAAGTTGGTGATGCAGGATCGCCATTTCCTATAGCCGTGTTGCGCTGGCGTCAAAACGTCCATCGGTTCGAAGAACGAAAGCAGACGCTTTTTCACAACCTTTTCAAAAGCTTTGGATAATATCGAAGTCAAACAGATCGGTCTATAGTTCTAATATACTCGGATCACCACTCCTAGGAAGCGGTCTCACTATCGAGCATTTCCAGTCGTTGGGGACAGATCCTTCAGAGAGTGATTTGTTGAACAGATTTGTCATGGCTGGTGAGATGACATTCGTTAGGGACTTGAGTATTAGTGGGTGAAGTCGGTCTGGTCCGGGGGGCTTTGCACCATCGAGGTTGACAAGTAGCTGATACATTTCGACTGCATCACGTTGTAGGCTTTCAAGCAAGACTGGCGCAACCTGTGCCGATACTGTAACAGCCGCCGGTTTACTAGAAGTGAGGAAATGCGTAGCCAAGGTGTCCGCGCGCTCCGCGCTTGTAATGAGCGTCTGTCCATCCAAGCTCTCTAAGACCGGTATGTCGCCCCCAGGTTTAAGTTGACGTTTCAAGTAGGCAAATATCCTTTTGGGTGCCGTTGTGTCCGAGGATGCTAGCTCCTCTTCGAACTGTCGGAGTTTCTTGATGTTTGCAGCGTTACATAAGTTACGCTGTTTCTTGTACACTGTGTAATCTTCATCACAACCCGAGCTGATGTATCTATCCCAAAGTTTGCGACGCCGTCGCGCTAACTGTCTATATTCCGTATCAAACCAATGCGTCTTGACAGGTCCGATTTTTGAATACTTCAGGGGAACGAACCGAGTACACAGCGAGTTAAGTTTCCCCTTCATTAATGACCAACAGGCCTCAAGCGACGCATTCTGTGGTAGTGTCCAATCAGTCTGACTTGCGGCTTGGACGAGCCCGTTGAAGTCCGTCTTCCAATAGTTGAATGTCGGCTTCCGTTGGTTGTAATACGGTAACGGCAGTTCTATGCTTGCCACAATGGAACAGTGGTCACTGTTCGCCAGAGGTTCGAGGACTCTGATCTCGTTCAGCTTCTGCTCGCAGCTCGTAAACATTAGGTCCAGACAAGATGCCGAGTGCGGAGTTATGCGCGTCGGTTGGATGGTATGTTGCGTTGCCCCAATTTCAATAGTCATTTTAGCGAATTGAGCCTCAACGTCGCCATGACCGGGAACAAGCCGAACGTCTGACAAGTATATCTTAGGGAAATTTAGATCCCCTATCAGTAAGACCTGAGGGCGGTTCATGTGCTTCTTTATATGTGGTAGCTAATCGCAACAACGGTTTAATGGGCTATGGTAGGTAACACCCACTATTAGTTCTGCGCGTCCGAGGCGGATTGTACACCACAGTTGCTCACATAAGTTATCCTCGATCCGATAGGTGCTGGTAACTTTGCCAGATAGTGACGATTTTATGTACAACAAAACACCACCGTGAGCCTTTGATTTTCAATCGCATCGGAAACAAGAGTATCCTGACAACACGACTGCTTGGAGTATGACGTCGGAGTTCAGCCAAGTCTCTGCAAGTCCTAAAACGTCCGACTGCTCCGAGACAACGAGGCAGCACACTTCGTCACGTTTGTCCGTTAGGCTGCACACGTTGGCGAATGCCACACGGAGGTCCTAGGAGGTACCGCGGAAAGTGCCTGAAGGTTGAGCAACCGGTTGATACGGGTTCGTACACCCTTCTTGATCACCCGAAAATTTACAATTTGTAAGTCGGTCTCACCTTCCTCTGTGTGGCGTTTGAGCTCAATGACCGCAGTCCTCAAGGGATTCCTGTCTTCGGGTTCCAAGTCAAGACAGATGTGAACCTTCATGACTTTTAGTCTTCATAGACGAGACAGTATGAGCTGTAGCTTATTGTGCTTTGCAAAGGTGAATCCCAGAGATTGACATAACTGGTTAGTTTTCTAGCCGAGTCAAACTACTTGTTTAATCGTCACACTGTCTTCGCCCACATGCAACAGTCTATCAATGAGCCCCTGGAGGGTTTTTATCATTTGACTTTGATGTGTGGAAGACCATGAGATTATGACGTCTCAGCAAAATCGGTGATGAACTTGTGAGAGCAGAACTAGAGGCGCTTATCTGATTGGGTTGTTGTTTAACAGTAGGAGGCACCTGAACTCGATTACGTGGACCCTTGCGCTTTTGTGTTGTCCATGGATCCTCGGTGTTCAGAACTTCACAGACAGGCTCTGAGAAATTCACGGACCGATCAGTGAAGCGACATTTCGTAGGTTCCGAGTCTGAGTCTTCCATCGGTGGGGAACATTGTATCTGAGGCTCGGCCTAGGTCGAAGACGTTGGTGGTGGTGCAGATCGCGGAGTGACAAGGGAAGGCGAGGTGACAGAGGTACTTTCACGATGGCGTTTGACCCCACGTGATGAACGGTTTGTCTCTGCCTGGAAGAGAGGTTTTCCCATAGTTGCTGGCGGTCGCTGTGTATTCTGAGGTCTTGCACCGCGACATTTATCACATATAACTTGGAAAAACCGATGTCGGATGTCGAGAGATTTACGAAACACGTCAACGGATAAGCCAATGCACGAAATATGGAACAAAACATCGCAGTCGAAGCACCGAAGTGCATGAGCCTTATTTCCCACAACTTTCGAACACGAACCACAAGTAGCTTGAGATGGCATCACAAGGTAGAGCGAATCGAAGATGGCGGACAGAGATGGTAGTAGGTCCAGTCAATGAGATCTCTGGAATGAGCCAAAGAATAGCCACCAAATTTGCACCGATTGGAAAATACGCCGATCGAGAAGTCTTGATTTCTGAAGGATTTGTGAACAATCGATTAGTTTATTTGATTGACTTTGTACTTTATTTCTTAAGCATCCGCTGTTGTTTGGCATCACGCATGTTACACTGACGGAATCCTTTTTTGACATTTATTTCCAACTGTTTACTCCCAAAGTAATTTTGTTCTGCAGTTTTACTGATTCACACTTTGCTTTACCACGAAACCCTTATGCTTTCTCACTGCTTAAGCTTTGCTTGTTGACTTCTTCCCCGTCTCGCCAGCCCCACCACCTAGTCTCACGTTTGATGTATTCATATATATGACCGTAGAACCACGGCTAATGATATTTGAAATTATTTCATACATTACCTTAAGTTTTTACTGCCCATGTCGTGCGTTTTCTTCGTGAAGCGTCTCCAACTTCAATGACGCCTTTCGATCTATTTCATTTTACCTCATTACATGCCTCCCTACCGAATTGGATCGATATAGCTACAAGAAACGAGGCAACGTGTAGCCAACTTGGAAAAGTCTTTAGAATCCAGTCGCGAGCAGCTGGAACACTATGAAGAGCGCCTAGGTGAACTGAACGCCCAGTTGCGACGGAGCACTGAACGTGAACAATTACTGCAGACGCAACTGGACGGCGCCATGTCGGTGAGTAAATGGGGCATTTTTTCGTTCTATTCTTCAATGAAACATAAACACCTAACACCGCCGGGTTGCCGAATGGATTGCGCGCCTACGTTGTAATCCGGTGGTCACCGGTTCGAGTCCGCACACCTATCCTCTCGTTATGCCCGGTCATCGCCCGACTGGTGGTGGTGGTCGCTTGTCAGCTATGCTTCGGTACGATGTACTCCCGATGTCTATCTCGGTTCCCTTCAATTGTTCAGTCATGCCACGACCACTCAGATTATGACCCATGCAGACATACAAAATAGTGTGAAAAAATGAGATCGACGTAGATGTACCAATACAGCGCGGCGTGGAATAGGCTAGAAAAGAGTTTAAATCGTCACATGCAAGCAACCTAACTAAATGTATTACTAATTCCACGATTACGTTATATTTGGTATGATCCACAATTATTATTGTGGCTCATCCCAGCGCTACCACACTGGAAGGACACGGTGTAGGGGACTAACATTTTGCGAGCAACAGCATTACATCGGCTGTTCGAACTGACACTTCATCACGTCATACAACCATGATAGCCTAGAGATTAGTGGGTAATAATAGGAGAAGTGGACCTAGTGTAAAGCCTAAATACCTAAGCACAAACACTCAAGGGCTATGTTCCTCTACCTTGTGAATAACACCCTGCTACTGACAGCTGGCTACCATGTGGCGCTAAGGTAGCATCGGCTAGGCAAACTCCTTGCAGCTTTCACTACGCTGCGACTCATAATCAGCCATTATCCCGCAGATAACTCAGCGTCAAATGTATTTTAAACAAACAGCCTAACTGGGAGAGACTACAGCAAATATACCACTCGTGCCGAGCACCAGTCATGTCTCCCAAGACATGGAACCGTACACAAAATGGAAGACGTGACATGTTTAGTAACAGTATTGCATCGCGCCAACAACTGCGCACGGTTACATCGGAGTAATGAATGAGCACAAAGTGCTGGTTTGTCGCCGTGCCCTATGGCTTCACATCAGCCCGTCACGTCAGCCCGACTGATTCTCTCTATACAACTTCTTAGTGTTTTCACCATGTTATCATTTTCGTGTAGATTCGTCACAACTGGATTTAGCTAAGCAACGACTATGCATCCGTGGAAGCGCTAGACGGCCGTTTCGTCCTATTCCGATTTTAACCCATTACCTTACCCTTACGAGTCAGCGACTAATGCCACTGGGCCATGGGTGACGGCAGCGGACCGTCATGACTGATACCCAACTACGCGGCTCATCCTCCATTGTTGTGCATGTTATGAAAATGGAGAGGACAAGGCTGGCCCCCAGAGCTACGACTTCCTTTGCGCAAACTGCCACTAATCGAGGTGGCATGTAAGCTGATTATTAGAGCGTAGTAAGGAAATTTATCATGGCGGCTGGCAAAGAAGTCGTAGCTCTGGGGGCTAGCCCTTTCATCTGCACGTTCTTACCATGCATGACAGTGTAGGATGAACCGCGTAGTATCGCAGATGGATATCAGTCATGGTGATCCACCGCTATCACTCATGGCTCAGCGGCATAAGTTGTTGACTCGTAAGATGTGTGGCGGATATCTTGCTGAGTATCGCTTCGACGAATCTTACCGAAAACGCAATATACTCCCCTACTACTTTCTAATAACCATGTCATCTTTTGGCCATCCTAAGGCTTTATCCAATCAAACGGAGAATCCGAACTCGGCTCACGCTGAACTATACGGTCCACATGTATATGGAGCGCACAACGCTGCTAACGTGTGTTACTAAGGTGCAAACGGCGGTCTATTGGTGCACTGGTGAGATTGCCACGGAAACTTGCCAATAGGCTCCGGATTTTCTCACATGGTGGTTCTACGGACTCCGACAATTATTTACAAACGTCTGTTGCCTGGGTGCATGATGACGGGGAGTTCACAAAAGGGGACAAAAATAGAGCCACCAACCAACATCAGACGAGTAATACACCATTCTATATGAAGACTTGCACAATAGACCAAAGTAGTACGGGGCAAGTTATTTGTGACCATCAAGCCCCATCCTTGGAGAAATCGCACTCGGATGACAAAAGAAGGAAAGCTAGGGTTACGACAGGAATGTGGCTCATTATGAATTATCAAGCCTTCTGCTATATATATATGGTTGGCGGCATCTGGTTTCGGATTTGCCTGTCACTGTGGCCAGCCACAGCACGCCTGCGCCTACAGAGGGACCATGGGTCGCTTGCGCTGCACCACCCACAGCTCCAACCACACACCCCATTTCCAGTGTAAACCCGAAGGAATAAGACCGGGAGGCATGCGGATGGGAGTCACGTTTCATCAACGGAGCCGGCCCACACTCCTTCACAGGCAAACACAAGCACGCTGTATTTGGAAATCAATCGCACACAAGGCGGTGGCTGGACCGTAGTCCGCTCCACACTGACTGCATGGAACCACTCTTTTATCCTAACACGGCCACAAGGACTGTGCACTCCGTCCCCCCCCAGCAACGACCAACTGTCTCCTGGAGCCAGTATAGACGAGGTAGTGGGTAATAGACAGGTAGGCACCTTGTCAACATGCACATCAAACGCAGCGTCACCGGGGATATCAAGCAACAGCCCATCACTTGAGAGAAAGATAACAAAGAAAATAAATCGAGTAATGCATAAGGAAAAGGTGACATATATCTTAAAGTAATGAGCATCTGAAGTACAGTGCATTTGAGAAGAGTCTTTCGTTTTTGCTCAGTCGCCGCGCTGGTCAGGGGTAGATTGGAACGCACTAATTTGCCGACCCACCAATGGCATGTACGTCTACTGTATTTACTCATCCACGCATGTCTGGGGGTGTGAATACGACGTGAGGACGCATTGCGGTGCGTGTGTCCTTGAAATATGTTAATGACCCTCGTCGATTTCGACAAAGGCCAGCTCAGATTGGGTCGATGCGGACGTTTTTGGCTGGTGGTTTGCAACATCTCGACAGCAGTGCATAATGCACTGGCTACCGTGTTCAAATGTTGATGGCGCTTCGACAGTTGCTTAATGTTATCCCAGCAAATGATAAAAGGGTTAGTGACAACGCTGTTGTAGACTGAATGTTACCTTCACATAAACCACCTTAGCAAAATAAGAATTCGTAACAATTAGGCAGTGAAAATATGAGATGCTACTTCTGCATAAATGAGTCCGGAACAATGTCTACCAGCTACTGGAGGCTCATCGGATCTATTTGCAAGTGCGCGGCCGCCTAAGGAGTTAATTCCAGCAGAATACAGAAATAAAAAGAAAGCTGAGTGCAGTGCCTTTTGAACAGATTTTATCAAATCTCATTTTATTCCATCAGCTTGGAGAATTAAATCAAAATCCGTTTCGCAATGAGCACGAGAAGGAATTTTACAGTATTGGTATGGTAAAAGAATCCTAAAGTAGATAAAGAAGCGTTTAGGTCAAATCTAATCACCCATTTTAGAAAGAAAGGTGATGGAAGAATCCAGCGCGTACGATGCATTTATTTGATTAAGCCAGTCTGTTTACGGCTGAATATTCAAGCGTTGTTGGTGTATTAAGCATTTTATTGACTTGACTTGAGTTCCCCGCCTTGGCAGACTTGAATGTTTAAATATTCCTTATCGCCCAGATACGTATCCGGCCAATTTGGAAAACCTTAATATTGCCATGGTACTAGAATTTTTGGTATTTTAAGTATCCATGGAAACTGTGTAAATAGATCACTGAGGATTCACGTTCAACCGTTTGTTCCACGGTCATGACACATTCAGTAGTTGCGAATGACTTAACAAGCGTAAAAGTATTGCCCATTAGTTAATTTCCGGTGGCCGGTGGGACTCTCTGGGACTCTTTTAACTTCCGATATAATTCCACGGGATGTACAGCTGAGCGGCTAATCGTACTCCCACAACGACCGAACAACAACAGATCATGGTGACGTGCTGGTATAGATTTGTTTTCCTATTTCGTTAGACTGCTGCTACCAAAAGAAATGCGGATGTTCTACGTGTGCCCTAAAGCTCGATCCACCTGAGTGTTGGCGAAATGTGGGTGGGTGAGATTTACTGTTTTATGTGAAGCTGCCGTTTGCACTAGTTGCAAAATCCCCAAGACAAAATGAACCGTAATCGCTTTCAGCTCATACGTCCTTTTGACACGTCAAAGAAATAGAACAAGGGTTCAAATTCCCTACAGGCCTAGTGATCTGGAAGCAGAGAGTGCGGAGATGATATCTGAGATTGGGGCAGCACTACACGTATGCTGGTGGACTCGCACCAAACCGCAATCAGATCCCTCATGTATGAATTTGAAGTTGACGAGCTGCTAACAACTTGTCGTGGAGTGTGAGGCATGAATCCAGTAATACCAAGTGAACATCCAGTGGCCCTAGCTTGGCGAAAGCTGCTGCTGTCACACTCGCTTCCATAGCAGTCATCCTAGGAATACTGTAAACTGGCTTCCATGAACTTACCTGAGCTACAAATCAAGTGGACTGGTCACTACAGCAAGATTCATCTATCGAAGCAATATAGGCAATCCTAAAGGAGTATGGAAAACGATTGTGCGCAAGATCCGTAACCCTCAATTATCAGATGGTTGCACTAATGAAACTAAAATGGTTCGACAAGTATATTTTATTTCATTAGATATTGACGTGTACTAAGGAATAAATACAGTCCGATGGGTTCTGCCGCCGATTACGTGGTGTCATAATCATGGCTGATTTCACGCAACAGCACCAGTGTTCAAAAATCCCAGCCACAACGAAGACGACCCACAAGAGGATCATTCATTAAGTGACGCTGCACTTGAGGAGTACAGATGACGGAGCAATGTTAAAGGGTTCAGCCGGGCAGTCCCTGACTTCCAGGAGGGACCATGCGTCGGCACTTGTGGTGCATTTCAATTCCTTATTCACAAATATTTAGGAGGCGGTACAGAGTTTGATTTGTGTAGGCCCTGCCCCTTTTGACAGAAGAATTTCGGCATAGTAGATGCTCGCAAGATATTCATTGGTAATTGGCGGTGCTTCACATGCTATACCTAACGATTCGCATTTACTTGTCTGCTTCAAATCTGTGCGAATCATGTTCCACATTGAGATTGCGGGTCGCATTGTGGGTTTGGTAGCATCCACCATTCAAATATGCTTCACTACTTGTCGGTTTGACGCATGTCCTCGCAAACCATTGCTGGTCAGGTTTTAGACTAAGATGAGAACATTGCAGAATGCTGAACTGGAAAAACCAGGTTAACTTGACAACAAAAGTAATTCGATGGCTTATCAGTTCGTCTTCATTTCGGAAGGAAGAAGTGATCGTTGGAGACAATGAGATGAACGCTTATCGAACCATTAGCAATTTGTAGGTCTGTCGAAAAATGCAAGACTTGATAAGGCGCAACCTTAACAGTTTATTTGTAACCAGTCATACGGATTAAAATATTCACCATACTTAATTGATTGTCACTTTCTATCTTTGTCTGCTATTCTATGTTGCTCTCATAAGTTGATCTCGCAGTCCACTGTTACGTTAATTCTGATGCAATTGATGTATTGCTTAGTTTTGAATAATTTTATATCCATGGAACCCGCAGTTGAAACACTTTAACAGGTAGACAGTATACTTGTCCAAGTGTAATTGCTTTCCAGGAAATTTCTGTTCAGTCTTTTAGATCTACTGGTGTTGACCCTTGCAAAACCCTTGCCTGTACACAAATTCATAATCCGAACAAATGCATAACTCCCTGATAGCAATTGCAGGAACCAAGTGGGGTGCACGCTGCCTAATTTGTATAACAGTGACCGTGACGGTGTAACATGAAAGGCTGACAGTATCGCTCAATCTCTCAGGAAAACGTATTTGTATATCAAACGAAATGATTGTTACATGCTGCCGTGTATGCCAATTAAGGAACTATTCGCTGCACGTGTTTGTGGATAAGGAATGTTGATGAAATCGCATTGTATGCGTCATTTCACAGAAACGATCGAGGAGCTGTGTCTAAGCTAAGCCTAAGAAGATGCCATCAATTGCACATAATCGCACCCTGTCTGTGTATTCCAGAACCAGCTTGGGACAAATTTGTGGGCACGTTCAAATCCCTAGTCGCGAAGGCATCAGAACCGAAAGCTTTTCATCCTCCCCTAAAAAAGAAATCTTTTCAGAGAAGCCGAACACGAAAATATATGGTCTTGAGGGACCGGACTTGGCATGGTTATAGAAACAATCGCAGTTCAGAAAATTGGACGGTGTACGCAACTCAGGCCGACGACTCTGTGCACTTGGTGCGTGAGGACAAGTGCACAAAGTAGCAGTTTGATCCGGCGTAACATTCACTGCGGAAACGGTACTGAAAATGCCATTACCCTCCTACACACAAATCTCTTGGAGTGGACAATAGCCACCCCAAAAGCACTAAAGGTAACAATCACGCACCTAGCCGGATTATTTCAGCCATCTCTGGACTGCAACATAGCTCGGTCAAAGTGGAAACTAGGTTTCATCAAACCTATTCACAAGGGAGCAAGTCGGTACCAGCCTGCCAATAACCGCCCGGTCATCTTCTCCCGGTGTTCGCCAAAGTTATGGAAGAAATTCTGGCCGACGCATTGACGGGCTATTTGGAATGCCATGGTATGTTTATCTACGATCTAGCCAGTGTTATCACCCTAACCCTGTCCGCCAACGAGACCTTTCGGCGCTGAGGCCCATCTATAGGTACAACGATTTCTTCCGTGTACGCTGCTCACGTTAACGTCTTGTTCTCTTCA